GCCCTTGAACACCTTAAACGATACCAGATAAAGACGAATCAATAACGTGTCCCCAGGAATTGATCAATGCCTAGAGCTTTTTTATTATCTTTTTAGATTAAATGCATTAGACACTCTCACCTAGTATTGAATATCAAAAAACTATCTACTACTTAATTATTGCTGTTTCCATAATTTTATTTGCGCCTCGCTATTTAGGTTACATTGAGTGAAATACATCGTCGTATGAGTCATCCAGAAACTCTTCATGCCAGCTTAATCAATGGAGTTCTCAGGAAGTAAGCCACTTATCGTATCTGACCTAATTGCCGATTATTTCGAGATATGCGGATGGCTAAATTTCTGTTGTTCTTCAGGGCCAAGACGAAAGACGGCTGCAAGATGTTACGCGACAGACTGGCCGAGAAGGGTATTTCGTTACCATCGGGACGAAGAAAGACTGCGCCGACAACATCGTTTACTGCGTTGTGCGAGAGTAAGTTGATATCTCGAGAAAATAGTTTAATGCCAAGGAAACAGAGTCGTTGTCTAGGAGAAGCCCTAGTGATGGCTCGGGACTTCAGCAATCTTTGCAACAGTAGTCTGAACACATTTGAAATCGCTCGACACGCGAATCGACTCCAATATTCACCCCATGAATTGATTATAATCAGGTAATTGTAATTTTTAAAAGCTGGAAAATTTGAAAATTTTAGTCTTTCGCTGGAAGACGTAAGAAGAAATCACTTACGAACCAGTGTGTGGACGGGGAAGATGTTGTAGGCGTTACTTGGCTGGCCTAATGGCGATTTTTGACGAGGTGCCAGAGGATCCAGAAGATTATGTTGAGAAGAATTCCGCCACACATTCTATCAACGTATTCAGCATGGTTCGGTATCACAACTCCTTCAATCAGTAGAAATAAAATCTCATTCTGTTTACAATTTCAGCTTACGCATGGCTTTGGGCACAATGCCCTGAAAGCCTCGTTGCGAGTGTTCGGAAAAATTGTTGATCAACAGCATGCTATGCTTCAGGGGGTAAGATACTTCCAAAAGCCTTCAACATGACGAAATGATCTGTTTGTTTGTTCGTTTTCGTTAGAATAGAGAACATATTTTAGAGAGGCTTCTCCTAGGTACAACCTCATGCCCCACCATTCATACCCTACCACATGCAGCAGTTCTTTTAGATCACTTCCAAACTTGATGTTGAATTATGTCTATAATTCTATTTAAATGATCTACATATGTGCACTATTTGTAATTTTGTGACTTGGATCATTGTGTTTAATGTGTGATTCGGCTATCTCACGACGCGATATGGTCGTTTATTTTACTAAATACCTCTAATCTGTTGCCAGACTGTCAGTCTCAAAATATCTCAGTTTTTCACTAAATTCCTTCCGTAGAGCAATAAAACTCGTGATTTACTTCTTTTAGACGACTTTTTGGAAGATATAGACCATATACACAAAAAAAAGCAATCTCAGCACGTTAATATTGAGTAGCTGGTCGGAAGTTCCTCTGTCGGAACTACCTAAGCGCGATCCGTGCTGCCTTTCATCTTCCACTACTTTGTTTTCTGATTTTAAAAGAAAAACCCTTGAAACGTGAAAACATCCATTCATATGAATGTCACCCTCTCTCCTCACGAATCCATATAGTAAAGGTAATAAGTAGTAGAAAAGTAAGCAATAATAGCAACATCATAAATGATAGCTATCTATAACTGAGTTATTAGTGCTGGACTGGTTCAAGGGAGCTGCGACCGAGTGGTTGTGATGTGATTTCTACCCCAACGACCGATTACGTCGCTCTACGGAACGATCCAGCTTGGGTGTTCTCGAGATTGCAAGGAATTCTGCTCGACAAGTATTTTTATGATGTTCTTAAAGAAGGAAAAAAAGAAGTGACTGCTAGAAGTACCGCAATCCGCACAGTGAAGAGAAAGAAAATTATGGCACGAATCAAATGAAATGATAGAGAATGTTCAAGGTTTGGTTCTCACGAAACGGCTAATTTTGGACGTCGATTTTGAGGTGCTGCTGGTCGTTTCAACTGCATTTGAAGTCTAAACAGGAAACCGTTGTGATATATACGTATTTGTTTACGAAACTTCATAGTTTACTCAGGGCCAATTAGATTCTCAATTTTTGCGAGCGACGAATTTTTGAAAGCATTACGTGGATCAATTTTCTCGTCGATTTTCATAGCCGAGATTTGTCGAGGTACTTGGAGAAGAAGCAGTTGATTAATGGGGTTTTGATAAACATGATGGTGATACAAACTTTCATTTAGCTTCCGCAATGTTCCTAGAGGCGATGTTATGATAAGAGAGAAATGAAGTTTTCGCCAAATCTTTGCTGGATTAATGGGCTGCAGTTTTGAAGACAGTCATCAATTCCTTAACACTGCTTCACTGCTTTAATGGCAATGATTTTAGAGGTTGGCTTGGATTAAGGGGAGCTTGAAAGTTCTATCTCAGAGCAGTAACATGTGCTGAACGTCGTTTCTCGTCTTATTTATCAGTTCTTTTATTGCACCTTGAAATGCAATTGAGACACATCGTCCTTCACATGCAAAGGAAGAGCCCTCAACAGATTTAATATTCTGAGATAGCGACTACAGCATTTGACTTAATCTGCCAACGCTCAGTTCTAGAAGCTCTCAAGCATTTTTATGAGGTCCACGTCGGTCGTGCCTTTAAGTGGTAGTGTGTAGGTGAAAGTATTAGCTTAAGCGCTTCTTAATTGTCAAGATTTATGCTCCAAAGAGGAACATTCCTCCTAAACCGTTCGCGCTATGCATTCGAAGTAACAACTCTGCCTTCCTGATTTGATGAAATTTCGGATGGTTACATTGCGATATATCAAATATAAGCAAAATGACACTTTGGTTTTCTGAAAGCATCATTTCAAACAGCTTGAAAAATACGGAAGAAAGCTCATGCAATAATGCCAATATCGTTTAATCAACTTGATAAAACATAGTAATTATGACAAGCGGGGCATAACAGAGCCGTGATTATTGATAAAGAGTATGAGGAAGTAAAGTGATAAGCAAGGCGCTGGTCCGATCCCCTTCCGCAACACCGTTGCAATCAATCACCTAGTGCTTAGAAACGCCTTAGGTCAGCTTTCTCCGATATTGCGTACGGAATCGTCTCGGCCAGCATTTTACGACATGCACAAAGAAGACGAAATCCTCAAGCAGCAGCCAGAAAGCAACACGCGAAATATTCGAAGCCTTTGTGGAGGATGAATGCCAGGAAACCAATCGAATGCAAGAGGTGTTGGGATTTATTTAGGAAATTGTGATGACGAGTTGAGCAAAGATGTACAAAAAAAAATATGACAAGCAGTGATATCAATGACATTAATAGTATTGTTAATAATCGACAATGTTAAGTAGTACCTATAGCAACAAAAACAAATGGTAATTATGTCGAGAATGACGATAATAATAATAATAATAATAATAATAATAATAATAATAATAATATAATAATAATAATATAATAATAATAATAATAATAATAATAACAGCAGTAATTATAATAATAATATTGATAATAAAAATAACAAAAAGGATAAAGTAGGAACGATAATAACAGCTGTTCCCACGAGGTCTTGTCCCAATGGTAGATTGACTTCTTCTTCTCGTATCGAAATGAAATTGTGCACGTTATCTCTTTGTTATTTTTAGTACCCTAAAATGCCACTGATAAAAGCGACCTGTGGTGGAAAATAGTACTCAATAACATTTTCAACAGTTCTTGGAAATTTTCTTAAATGAGTAAATCTTACTTACTCTCATTCTTGGAAAAATGGAAAAAGATTGGAAAAATATTACGGGAAAGCGCGTGTGTTTGTTTTTTTTTATTGAAGAATCAAACCGCTCTTGTCTAGGGGGTTTTAGGATAACGAAAAGTGAACATAACTTTAAGCAAAGTACAAATAGAATAAACGCTAAGGTATTCAATATCGTGACAGCTGAATGAGATTTAGTGGTCTCAAACAGCCAGTTTTGTTAGCGAAATTTGAATACATATGGGGTTATTGTCATTTATCGAAGGCGCATGTGGAGCAGTCGTCAGAAGTACCGTGCGACACAGTATTGGTCGATGTTGAGTCCCGGATACAGGGTTCACCAAGTCTTTCATCCTTTCGGCTGTCTGGGAGGATAGCAGCACTGACTGTTGATACAGTGGTAGGCCACCCGGAGTCATTGTAAGGGCTAATTTGCATTCTTTCACCTCGAACGATGCTTGATGATGTCTAATGCGTGCCGCATTCCTCTGGGATTGATCGACGCCGAGAGCTCTACCCTCTTACTTATGCCACTCTTCGTAAAATCACTATTTTCTTGATTTTGCATCAAATTCATTGCTAACTTTATATACAATCTAGATATGACCTAATCACAGTCGTGAACCTGAAGTGACCCTATTGTCAATCCTATTATCACGCTCCTATTGCTTTTTGTTTCAATGTGAGCTCATCGAAAGCCATTCAACTCTTCACTTCAGCTTCATTGATGACGATGTGAAAAATCCAGAGGTAAAGATGGAGCTTATGCAAGGCCTAAGGACTGCTTTTGTTAAGCTGAGGATAGGCTAGTATCAGTCATCGCTGTTGTTGCCATTTTTGTTGTGATTCGATGGCCGACGTTTCCATGGCTTCACCTTCAAACTATGTACGTATTTTATGTGACGCTATCAGTATGCACCTAAGAGAATGGAGTGGTAAGCAAAAACTTTGCCTCGGGCAGGAGTTAAACCCGCGTTTCATTCATACCGAGAGCACGTGATGCCGCTGCAGCAATGGGGCCACGTTTTGCTGTCATTTTTTGATTCTCAAAATCAGTAAAAGAAGGAATTTATGTAGGTTGTATACATTCAAAAGTTGTCAACTTAATTGGGTTAAATGTCGATATGTGCTTACTGGGCCAAACACTTCAAAGTTTGGTTGCTGAAAGTTTCGATGGTTTACATCGAAAAAGAGTGCTAGCACAGCCGTGGCCTCAGTGGTGCAGTGGTAACACGCCCCCTCAGTATGGGTGAACACGAGTTCAACTCCCGCCTGCGATCAGTTGCTATGCATACCACACAATATTCTTACATGTATTACAACATCAGAGATCTGCCAAAAAGGAGTAAAAACATAAAATTCTGATAGGGTATCAATATAATTCGAAAGATTATCTATAGTACTAATGAAGATCTGTTTTGCGAATGAATACCACTTTTTGGAGAAGAATTACTCGTTGTTTTGTAAGGTGCAGGACTGCCCTCGTGATTTACGTGAGACGACGTCCCCACCCACTTCGAAAAAAACCGAAGCCTGTAGAAAGTTGATTTTTCAAATGAGATAGTGCCCATAAATTTGAAAATAAGGCCAATTTGGGCTTTTACGGACAAGAACTTATGCTCTAACGATTGCATAATTTGATTATAGTTTATGCATAATTTGATTTCAGTTGGGAGAAATCTCGTAGTTGGGCGTTCAAAAAAAGTGCAGGCAATGATCTGATATCAGTTAGACAGAACTTAGAGCAACAATGTTTTTCATTCATGACAGCTAGTGGAAAAAAAAATCTATTGGGCATCGAGATGCTGTAAAACGCTCGAGTTTCGGACATCGCCAGAGGCACGCTTTCGAGTGGGCGGGCTGTGCAGGATGGAGGAGGCGTGGCATCTCAATTTGAGTGTTCCGAAGCGACGACTGACGTAGTTGCCCAGCAGAGTAGTGTGTTCGATTTTATGCCTTTTTGAGCTATTCAGAATTCTATCTAGAAAAAGGACCTTCCATATTACGCCCAGTTTCATGGTTAGTTCTTCTGTAGAACTCATGTGTAACGTATCTGATCTTCTGGCTGTATTCGATCTCCAGAATCTCTATGTATTTACTGTTCAAACATTATTATTATGTGATGAAATTCTGCTGATTAGTCTTAGTCCAATTGTCTAGATGTAAATGTGCGCGCATAACGGACTACCTTAAGCTGAACTTACTTGCTAACCTAAAATGCTTTAAATATTCAAGAGAAACTGATAGCTGCCAGAATTCCGGAGATTATTTTGCTCAGTCATGGATTTCGCAATCTCTATAATTTCTGTCAACCTCATTGCGCAAAAAATCTCTTCGTTTGTATGACTGGTTAATGAATTTACTCGCTCGTTGTCATTTGTCAATCTATTTTTTTGAGCTCACTCCTCCGCACTTTCGACATTAATTGGAGTGGGGGGAATAAGTACAAGAAAAAAGTAGCCATTCTGTGCACTTCGTTTTCCTGTTGATCAAACTTTTATTTTTCGAAGCGGTGGCCTTCTCATTCGTACTTGCCGTCCATTGCTATCTCTGGAAGCTGTCCTCGTGATCAATGCACAATTGATGATTTTTCGTTACATCGTCTGTTTCGAACTATTAATTTTTTCAGCTCCAAGTACTTATTGTGCTTCACTGAGTGAGCTTTTTGTGGTTTCTCTTCTGCCCGGGTGATGTCCCATCCGCCAGAGTATGCGGCTGCCGCTCTCCGCTCGACGCCTGCCCAAATGACGGCTGGCATTTCCGTCGACCTTGTAGTGGCAGCTCAGGTAAAGCAGTGTCAGTAAAAAAGGGCTAAAGCTTCTTGACTAAAGACGTATTCAACAGGTTCTCTTGTATAAGTGTAGGCGATGAATCAAGCACTCTGGGCGAGAAAACGCTTAACGCGAAATAAACGAGTGTTTGAAAAAGTGTATAACTACATAAACATCGGTTTCTTCAAACAATATTTTTCACTTACAAATACTCTGTTGGAAAAGAAACGCCGAAGTCCGATACAATGAGTTTTATACGAAAAAAATGTACGCAAGTCAAAAGAGGAAATACAACGAGTGTCGAATCACATCGTGTTGTCGTAATGAGTAATCTCAGAGATGAAATATTCATTGTAAACAATTCTAATATGATGCTGTTTCATTAGTTATAAACCATTATAAGAATTCACTCTGTTAATACTTCCCATTTCTTCCCTCTTGTGTTCCTTCTGATTCTATTACTATTTGTCAGGTTACTAGAATAACCCACTTTGCGTCAGGTAATCAAGATAAGTCTAATCAATTTGCACTAAACTGCTTCAAAGTCTTCAACTGGTTTCCTTTCCCACTTTCCTATGGATACCTTGTTCTTTATCCTTCACCGTTATGCATCTAACCAGTTGTTACTTGACACTCCGAATGGCGATCCATGAAGATTTCATCCCATATGACATATCAATAGGTGCACATATGTGATACTTCTTCTTTCAAAAGACTGGACTACGAAGATATATATGTACCACATGTCAATGGTGATCGATGAGAGAAAAACTACCAGAAGCTTAACCAAAGTCATTTGCTAATGGATGCCACTATGTTTTTGGCATATTTTAGTGCATGATATTTCTCAAGCATGTAAAACATAACGTTTCTGGTTATGTGCACGATTTTTGCTGAGAACATTTGAAAACGAGTAGTTATTGTGACGTAGACGACGAGCAAAGCAATAAAGCGAGGTGAAGAGCTTTATCATGATTACTGCGTTGTCCAGTAATTTCTTTCGCACTACACTTTTAGACAGATTTTTTAAATTCCAAATCGGGTTATTTTCAAAAGCACCATCACTCGCCATGTAGTTCGAATGGTGGGCTACCGCAAAAAGAGTCGTCTTGGTGGGCACCCCATGCATTGTCCGACCACCACCGCTCTGCTAGCCGGATCATCTGGGAAAGTCTTTTGGTGATCGTGCACGCAAGACTTTTTGAAGTTGATTATTACTAGAGATGATCGTGGGTCTACTACGAGAATAACACGCGCCACGCCTACTGCCTGTATAGCAATAAAGACCCGCCAACTCAACCAAAGCCTGTGTTCCATGTTCGGGAGAATATGCTTCCGGTTATCTGGGATTGACAAAGCATGCTGTTTTAGGAACTGCTCGGCAACAAGCAGACAATCAATTCTGACGTGCTCAGGAACGAAACTACCGGAAGCTGGAGATAGCAGTACGAGAGAAGCTTACGAAACGATTAAGTGTCGCCCTTCTCCAGGATAACGCTTAACCTCACACTGCAAAGTCGGCTCGTCACACTTTGGAGATACTGGGCTGGACCACGGTAACATCCAGCGTGTAGCCGTGATACTGCTGCATCGGATTATCATCTCTTCCGCCCTCTGAAGCAGCATTTGCGGGAAATAAATTCCAAAGACCACAACGAACTTGAAGTGACTTCACTGACTTTTTTGGTCGTCAGCCTCATCTTTCTGTTTCTAAGGCATCCAAGCTTCAAAGCTTTCAAGCTTTGCCCAGCAAATGTTGGATATCATTGGTCGTCATAGTGATCACATTGTTGATTAATTGATTTCCTTGAATAATTAACAATCTAATGAACGAAAGTATCGAAATGCGAGAGAATTCGCGGTATAACCCAATGCCGATTCGCTAGTTTAGAGGAGAGGCTCAAAAGTTGCTTGACTGTGAGAGTCACCGGATTGAGGACAAAGCAGAGGATTAAATCCTCGGACCTTCGGACCTTTCTTGGCGCATTAAGATTTTGTAGTGGCATGTCAATGATATCTCCAAATGCAGCTTTCTAAAGATACAGATAAGGAAAATCTAAACTCTAATTTGTTTAGCCATATTTTCTATTGAAAGGTATACGTTGACAATCAATTTGAGGTCTTAGACAGCAAAACTTTGAGAATATTGAAATTCTACAAAATGCTGAGTTATAAATGTCAGATGACAAACTATATCACGAAACGCTCAGAAAAAGAACTCGAAATGAAACAAGTGCATGAAGATGAATGTTAGAGGAGGAATTCACAGATGAAAGAGCCAACCAATTCATTGTATCTGCTAGCGTTCATATATATATTTGCATCGAGTTCAATGTAATGGTCTAAAGAGGTTTCAAAGGACATTCTGAGAAGTGTTTCATATTGTTACCGACTTTTCGACTACTTTCCTTCACCATTTCATAGTTTACGTTTCTTTTATAGCGTGAGGCGAATTTCCTTCGAATGATAGATCGGAAAGCACCGCTACTCTATGAACCGGATGTGGTAAATCAGGCGATTCGGCGATACGAGACGTGTTGGCTACCCATGCAGGTCAGTATACGACTTTGACTTCTTTGAATATTTATCTCAGTTTCTCGATTCTTTTTCCTATCAAAATTCTTCGACTTGGATGTCTATCTGGAAAACCGAGTATTGTAATCGCTAGTTTTATTCATGTAGCAGAAGACAATTTTCTTCTAACATATTTGGTTTCAAACGATCGCATAAGAGGCAGCTTTTTCCTTGAAATCATGTAACTTGCGGAATTTATATAATAAATCAATTTTATTGAATAGAATTTGATTTATGATGGATAGAATAGATTATAGAGAACTGTACAAAAATACCCAGTAATGTGGAGTGCTGTGCAAAAAATTTGCGTCAGACGGGATTCGAATCCAGTTCTCGCTCTTTCCGAGAGCATGTGCTGAACCGTTGTAAAAAAAAATATACAAAGTTTGTGGTAACCTTTCCGTGAATCATCCTTTGTTTTTTTCTGGAGTAGAAGTGGTCATGTAGAGAGCGTGCACTTTCTTTTGCAACGCATTTTTTCTATCTATAATAGCTTTCGTACTAACTCGGTAGGCTTCTCAACGTTAATTGTTATGCTCGGTGCTTTTCATGGAAATAATTATGCATACATTCTAGCTTATGAAAACACCAGGTCTTAGGGCGAGTTCTCCTATCCATAATTTCGTGGCAGCTTTTTGCTTTCAATACCAAAAGGTGGCTTACTCTCAGATCTCAATCTTCAAAAATTATGCATAATTGTCAATACATTTATTAGAGCGTTGATCAGTTATGGTACGCATTGATTTCAATGCATGGGTCGAGTACCACGTGCGTTGAGTCCAGTGTAGTAATAAACTGCACGCTTTGCGACGAGGCTGAGGATGAAAGTTAGTCATGGTTCCGAATGTTTGAATAGATGTTTGTGGTGTTTGTTCTAAACACATTTGAAGTGAAACACAAGCAACTGGATTTTCCTTTTGAATTTTTTTCTTTTCA